TTTAATTAGGATTTATTAGTTATGTAGGTTCCTAAACCTAGTTTAATTTGGTTGTTAATATTATAAATAAGGGTGCCTTTATTACATATTTTCAATGTGTAGCGAGATACATTCAATGTACAAAAATATAAGAGTTATTGAGTTTTTTAATAAAACCACCTACCTCCTATTTGTTGATTAATAAGTTTCTTTTACATAACTATTGTTGGGTCTTCTTGTGTATATATTATTACTTTGGGTAATTTTATTTCCTTCAAATTGGTAACAGAGCTTGTGTGTGATCCTAATTATAAAAGCCTTAAATTGCAAAGAAGGCTTCAATAGTGGTCAATCTAATAAGTCAATAATTTCTGAAACAACTAAGCAGAAAAATTTGGTGGAAACTGACGTTGCTTCGATAGAGGCTAGTAATTTAAGCCACGAGACATGTGATAGACATGATTGGTCTTACAAAGTGAAGTTATTGGAAAAGAAATAAAAATATTCATTATTGTCTTACAAGAAAAATTAGTTGAAACTTTTGAAGATGAAGCTAGTAATAAAAGAAGCAAAAGTGATCATCAAGAGCAAGTTGTTTGATAGTCTACCCAAAATTGAAGCAAAAATAATTAAAGTTCTAGATCCGCAACTGAAGTGCATGACTATGAATAGTGATGATACAATCAACTCTGAAACATTATTCAAAATTATAGGTTTAGAAGAGCATGAGAAATTATTTGTTGAAGATCCTACTTTACCACATACACGATCAGCTAAAGTCGAATGAACATACAAGACCAACTACAAGTCAATTGGAGAAGCAGCCAATTTTAAGGCAAGAACAATTATTCAAGAATACAAGAAAAGAAAAAAAATATGATGATGATATTTTTAAAATATTAAATATTAAGAAAGTTAAATTGATCTTGAATTTTGCTGAAGCGAACTTGAAGTTGACCAACGATGGCACACACGATTTTGTTGGTGCTACATATTTCAGAAAGTTGAAGCAGATTCTAGGCATGGTCACAATTGAAGATCTTGGTTTAAGGGAGGCTATGTAGGAAATAAACCAAGAGTAGGATTCCACTACAACGAAAACAACGTTTAGCGGCAAGAATAGACACATTAACAGAGAGTGCTAAAGTCTTTACCGGCATTAGTTAAGTGCCATTAGATCCAATGCCACTATAAAGGCTTTAGGAGCATATACAAAGAGTGCTAATTGCCGCTAAAAATACATAGCGGAAATCGAGCTATTGCCGCTAAAGATAATTTTTATGTAGTGTTTCTTAATAGTTTAGGATATGTTATTTATGGTATTTACTTATTTCTGTTTAATTAAGATTTGTTAGTTTGGTAGAATCCTAGTCCTAGTTTAATTTGGTTGTTAGTATTATAAATAGGGTTGCCTTATTACATATTTTCAATGCAGTGAGAGATACATTCAATGTGTAGAGAAATACACTGAATACTCAATATAGTAATACAAGAGTTATTTAATAAATCTCCTATCTCCGATTTGTTGATTAATAAGTTTCTTCTATATAACCGTTGTTGAGTCTCTTACTTGTGCATATATTATTATTACCTTGAGTAATTTTATTTTCTTCTACTTTTCCCTAGTATTTATTATGTTTCTTCTTGTTAGCAAAGTTAGAAACATATATAAACTAATCAATGTACAATAGTATTTATTTCACCAATAACTTACTATACTCATAAATATATCTGAAATCATATTTAACTTGTAAGAGCCCACAAACTTAAGTAAATAAATTCACAGTTCAATTGCACATGCATGATAGGGATGTAATTGTTGAAAGGACAAATGAAAATGAATGCCTGAATTAATTTTTGCTCTTAATATCAAAGATTAAAGTAAGTTAGGGTTAATCTTGCAATAGGTAAGCTAGGGTTTTCTACTTGATGCCTAACTAATTAAAATTTGTGTTGTGTGAGAGCTGTTTAAGGTGGAAGCCTTCTCTAAAAAGATTTTTTTTCATGTTCAGAATTTGAACACGAGACGTTTGATGATGAAGATATCATATTCATCCCACCACAATCTTTGTCAGTTTACTTCTCGGATAACTGGATAATTATCAAGCAAATGTAATTAAATTGACTTTTAATTTTTCTAAAAATGCTGTGATTATTTGCCCAATTCATTTTCATTTTTAAAGAAATTAGAGGCTAGGACTTGTCGCTGTTATAGAGTTATAATTTTTTTAAAAAAAAGGATCTGCAGAATCAGTTGGAATAACTGTTTAATAGTAAAAGCTGTACGTAAATATAGACAACTAACAGATTTTTCTGAATTATATAAATAAAAAGATAAGTCATGATGACAATTTCAAATTTCAGTAAAATTAAGCTTCTTTATTTTTTTTCTACTTATTGGGTAAAACTTTTAACGTAACACATATATAGGGTTCGAGTCAAAGCTATACTAAATTCATATGGGTTACACCATACTTAGGTATCCATCATTGTGCGTATTAAGAAGTTAATTAACTAAATCAAATATTTCATTGTGAATTTCGTTAATATTGTAAATTAATTTAAAATCGATAACTATAGAAATCATAAACTTCACATCCACCCGAACATCGTCATTATTTTTTTTTAAAACGTTGTGGCAAACTGGCACTAGAATATGGCAGAGCTAGATGGAGAGCCACACAGTTCACTATCAATTCTGTTAGTCTGTCTGGGATTTTTCCGGGTCCATTTATGATTGTTTTTTTTTTTGGTATGTAATGTCTAAATCTCTCAATAGTTCAACTCACATATATGGCGACAGTTTGAATATTATTTCAAGTTAATCATAAATTGACTAATTATTTACGTTGATTTAGTGTATCGTACGTAACCTTATCTTTCTTTTTTATCTGGACTTTGTATGTGCGTTCGAGTTAGCATAATCCCTCTAAATTGCCCAGTAAATTTGCCAAAATATTATAAATACTAGCAAGTGCAAAGAATTTTAATTATAAGATGATATATATTCCTTTCGTTTCAATTTGTTTGTCTGGTTTTAACTTGATACGGAGTTTCAGAAAGTGAAGAAAACTTTGAATATTTGTAGTCCTAAAGTAAATGTTAAATGTACCAAAATGCATGTTTTTTTTATCTTATAGTCTTAAACATGTCACGTGAAAAATTGAAATTAAAGAGTTATCATAAAAAAGGAAAGAGACATTCTTCTTGAAGTGGACTAAAAAGAAAGCTAGACAAGCAAATTGAAACTGAGGGAGTACAACTGTACAAGTACTAGACAATGCAAATATTAATTTTAAACAATTAAAGTATAACACGTTATACATGTAGTCTAAGTTGGATAGACTATTCACTTTCGATACCGCACTTATGTTGAATTCTCCAAAAATACACTACTTTTGGAAAATCTGCCCCGCATCTGTTGTCATTTTTGAAGAGTCTGAGCAATATATATATATATATATAGAGTACCAGGTTCACTATGAAGATTATCTGTTTTGTAGCCTACATAATCTGATGGTGTAAAAGATATGTGCACTTGATCATGACTAGTATTTTATCTCTTTAATTTCTTGCAAAAAACATTGTCACTTTTCCTTCTCCATTCATTCATATAATATATAGTTGGTGTTTCATCATTCTTGATAATGATAACCTAATCATTCATTGACAATCATAACTTGTAACATACTTTTCTTAATTTGGAAATTTATGCATATTGTCTATGCCTAACAGTTGAAACTTCTGCATTTATGAAGTTTCTTTCTATAGCTAGCACAAAAAAATAAAATACTACCCCATACAAAAGTATGCTAGATATGAAAAAATAGAATATAATTCAAAGTGATGATAAAATACTAAAGTTGATTTAAGTTAGTACAATCAAAATTGCTACATATGTTATTTCTCACTGCAAAAATAAGTGTGGTCCTGTGTGTACAAAATAAGTATTGCTGGTCCCTCCTCTAGCTATACAAATGTAGCTGTTCTACTATCAATTATCTCATCCAGCTATTGCACCACAACTTTGCCATCCCCACTTGCTACAATTTATTTATTTTTTAATCTAAATTTGATGGCATTTATCTTAATTAATTGAACCACAACAAAATTGAAATAACAACTTTTAATGCAATAAAAACTCTACTAGTAGTTGATAAGCTACTTACTTACTTTTCACTAGTGGAAACAAAAAAAGGAGAAAAAAGTATAGTAACTCCTTTTTCTTTTCTAACTATAGGAAGTGGTCCATTTGAAGTTAACAGCCTACCTTACTTAGCATTAACCAACAAATTTTAACTTATAACTACTTCATTAATGTGCAAAAATTTCTTCATTTGTGTTGTGTAATCTTGTTTAAATTCTCGTTAAATTTATTGAATTGATGTGTCACGTGTCATGATTGTATTGATACACATTGCCGCGAATTCGCCATACCTTTTTTATTCTTTTTCGTTGCCTTAGCAATATGGCATGGTAAGATTCTAACAATTATTTCTATTTCTTTCTTCCTTTAACTTATTCTGTAAGTTTATAATTGTGAGTACACGAGTTAGGTTTCTCATTCAAAATTGCTTCAGAACTCATTCATTTTGATGTGGTATTAAACAGAAAGACTTTAATGCCATTAAGAGATTCTTATGAGCTGCAAATCTGATATCTTTATCCTTCCTCAATTCCTTATAGATATCTTTTCGTCCTCAACACGTCCCAAGAAACAGTATATCAGATCAACAACAACAGACATCGAGTTCAATTATTGTGCCAGAGTCTTGTATATCTGGTTAGTCACACTAATTAGCCTTTAATGTTTTTCCCTATTGAGTTGGAACTTTCAAGTTGCATATATATATACCTAATTGTCTTCACAACTAGAATTAATGCATACAAGAAATGTTCCACTTATATATAGCTACAAAAGATGTTATACTAATTAGTAAAAGAATGTAATCTTCTTTATGGAAATGAGTAATATAACATTTTTTTTCTTGTTTTCTAATGAATATTTGTGTAATGAAGAAAGCAGTGATTAGTACTTGATCATCATGAACACAAAAAAGCAAGAAACTGGTGGGGGTGACACCAACAACAGTAAAACATCCTCAAGGACTACTGTTAGTACTACTACATGTACTGCTACTACTCCATCAAGTTCTTGTTCGAGGCAGTCATCGTCATGGGCAGCAGGATTTAAAAATCCAAGAATTGTACGCGTATCGCGTACCTTTGGAGGGAAAGATAGACACAGTAAAGTGTGTACTGTAAAGGGATTAAGAGACAGGAGAATTAGGCTTTCAGTACCAACAGCAATTCAATTGTATGATCTTCAAGATAGGCTTGGGTTAAGCCAACCTAGCAAAGTTGTAGATTGGTTAATAGATGCAACTAAAGATGAAATTGATAAACTTCCACCTTTACAAATACCACCACCATCACTTTCTCATTTCTTCAATATGAAAGATCGTCATTTAGATTTTGTTGATACAGGATTTGGAAAAGAGAAGTGGATTGCTACAAATCATCAAGAAATTAGTAGTAATCATTTCTTTCAATCTTCTAATTTAGGCATGTTAAACACCTTCAATAATAGTACTAATAATGCCTTGATTAGCCATAATTGGGAACCTAATTCAAATTTATCATTAGGTCCATTTGGAAATTACCAAGATCAATATCAACAACAAAATATGCCTTTTCCTTCAGGTTCTCATCAACAACTATATTTTTTTCCAAGTAGTAGTACTACTAGTACTGCTACAACATTGTCATCTCTTGTCCCTCCATATAATTCCCATTTCCATCAGAATTCGCTCGCGCCAACTCTTCAGTTAATCAGTGCTCCAGTGAAATCTTCCTTCAGTTTGAATGACAATAACAAGGGGATCAACTTACAACATCATCATCAACACAACCATAAAGAAGGCAGTGGTTCTTAAGCATATTATACAGCAATTGATGATACTGTAAGACATTATTCTATATATCTATCTTTTTTATGTTTATAAACTTTGTTGTACCACAATATATGTGGTACGTCAATATTAGTATATATAATTTGTTAGAAGCATAATTTTGATTATTTTGAAATTATTAAGTGAATGCACTTTGAGTTATATTCATGTGAATTTTGGTCTATGATTTGGTGCATAATGTAGTCTTTATATTGTAACTTAGGTGTATTCTTTTGTAATATCCAGTTTAGAAAAAAAAACCTTTTGTAATGTGTTTTTTTTTACAAGTGTGAAATTTTCCTAATTAGTGATATAAGTGTGCTTTTATGTTTATCTTCCTCTTCTATTCTTTTTAATTTGTGCCTTGTAGGATTTATGAAAACCTAACCTAATTAGTATCCCAACATAATTATATGCATTCTTACAGAAAGTTAGTGTTGCAATTTTGTTAAAAGAAAATTAATAATAAGTATTTTAAATGAAAGGGTGTGTCTGTTCATTTTTTGGTTACTACTTCTTGTGATTTTCAAGATAAGTATATCTTTTTTTTTTAATTTACAATATTCTCCAAAAAAATCTTTTCTTCTCCAATAGGCCGATCAAGTTCAACTTCTTACCTAATTTCCAATAGAACTTCCTCATTATTTACACAGTGCAGAAAATTATAGGCTTGTGATCATATTTTACGTACAATCCCATAGCAATCTTGCAGAGAGGAGAGGGAACAAATATTATTTTCAAGAAAATATTTTACACGTATTTCAAGCCTTTAATTTTGTGTTAATTTGTTGTTCATATTATATATGGAACCTTCAACTTTTATGTTTTTTCCTCGTATTGTTTGTGTTATTGGTATATATTTTCCAAAAATTTAATACTATGTGACGGATTTAGAGTCTCACTAAAGCTCCGTGCGGCACTTAACAGCTTGCCGGGTCATTGACAACTATCTAACAAAAGTATATGAATAGTTCCTATGGAAATGGCTTAATCATTTTTCATGAAATAATATAACTTAATTAGGTTCAGATCCATTATGCTCTATTTAAAGTTATATATATATATATATAAAAAAAAAATAAAGACTTATTACTTTTACTGCTCTCCATCCTTTCTGTTTTACTTTCTGCAAATTAAAGTAATTTTAGGCGCCCCACATGCAGATAGCTTTGTGGATCTGTGATTTAAGTTTTAAGGATTCAATGTTTAATAAGGTTCTTCCATTAAATATATTATATTTTAAAAGTTATGACGTTAAATAGCAATAACAAAAGAATAACAATGTTATCATATCTTTTAGGGAGGTAATATATATATATATATATATATATATATATATATATATATATATATAATAATACCTGAATAATTAAAGCAATATAATATCAGTGATTATAACTAATCGGTAGCGTCGAGAGAGTACTACAATGTGTATTATTAATACAATTAACATAATTAATACTTCGTTAAATGAAACATATTTAAGTATACATCCCCTCTGATCTGGGTTTTGTAATTTCTTACAAACCCTAGATATCGAAATTAATTACTCTCATCCAAAACAAAAATAAGAAAATCAGTTTCATGCCGTACAATACACTAACTTTTCGAAATTATATATCCTTTGTAGAACTTTTCATTTTTCGAGAGTCAAAACCATTTAAATTTGACCGGAAATTTGGGCGTAGAATCTTTAATTTTTTTTCAAATGAAATTTATATATTTGTAAACTACATAAAAAGTATTATAAGTCACAATAATGGACGGAGGAGGGAGTAGATATATAACGATAGAAAAGAATGAGAACCCTAAGGGCATGCAGGCATGGAAGCCAGAAAAATTAAGAAAGGTTACGAGGCTTTTCCAAATTTAAAACTGATTGTATAAAAAATATTTACAAAATTATACTACTTATAAACTATCAATCTATAATTCCCTGATAGCGTAAAAAAAAAGAGGTTAAAAATTGTAATGCATGTGTGTGTATAATGTATAATATTATTATAAGTAACTTAAATGAATTTTGTTTATGTTGGAGACTTGGAGTGGGTGCGAAGGGAAATGAGATAATTAAACTATGGATGGATAGTGACTTATTGTACTACTTCCGTCCATTTTTATTTATTATGTTACACTTTTCAAAAGGTAATTTGACTTATTTTTAAAGCTAAATTATATTACATTAATTTGATATTTTAAATAACAAATTTAGATATTCAAAAACTATACGAAAAGTATTATAAATTGTAATTTTTTTGTATATCAATATAATGAAAAAATACATCATAAAATGTTAGTCATATTTTTTATAATTTGACTTTAAAAAGAAAATTATGACAATTAAAAATAGATGGACGGAGGAAGTAGTAGCACTCAATTATGAGGATGTCATATCACTAGATCCAAGAAAATTTAAAGGAATGGCCCATAGCAGTTTTCACTTTTTCTAAAGCAGTGTAAGGTTTCTCATGTGGATGTGGTCCTCATATATATACAAGAAAGAAGAAAATAATTTAGGGCATGGATGTCATAAAAGAGAGAATTTATTTGAGTTTCTTACAATGATTATCTTAATTTGTTATACATAAAAAATAGTCTTACTATCTCCACAAAGCAATAATAAAATTTGTATACATTCTATCATCAAGATCGAGATTTATTGTTATACTAGAGAATGAGGATAGATTTATTTACAACGATGGCTGTGGGCTGTGGACTATCATCATAATTTCATATATCCATCTTACCTTGTACTAATTAATAATAATAATAATAATAATAATAATACTAACTAATAAGAGGTGACAGACAAACCCTTAAAATAGTCAAAGAGCATGCAAATTATTAGCCGGGCTACACTTTTAGGAGGTTAAAAGTATTTATTTAGAAAGATGGTGTTTGACCAAATGTTTTTTTCCTTACCGTACTTAATTTCTTGAAGAACATTTTTTAGATTTTTTTTTTTTTAAAGCACTTTTAAATAGTTTAGCTAACATTAATAGTTGCTCAAAAGTGTTTTAATTAAAAATTTAATGGCCAAACAAACTAATTCTCACAAAAAGTAATAATACTTTTCAAAATAAGCTAATTTAAAAGTTTGACTAAACAGACTATAAACATATATTATCTTAGTAAAAAATAAATAAAGATAGCCATTAGCCACTAGTCTCCCTTTTTTTTCATTAGTCTTGTTTACTACCAAAGGGACCAATTTCAAGTTCCATTATATATATATAAACGTTTCTTTTTTAAAAAAAATATTAATAGCCCCCGGCGAGGATCGAACTCGCGACCTTTCGCTTACGAAGCGAACGCACTACCACTATGCTACGGAGGCATTTTAATATAACAATATTAACTATATTTAATATTGGAACCAATAATTGCATCTATTTAACTCAAACAATAACCCACGTACAACGCCAAATGCATCGACTTGATGGCTTCAGTCCCACAGAAGATAAAATTGGTATTACTAGCAATTACTAATGGCTCGTTTGGTACGAGGGATGAGGAATAACTAATCCCAAAATTAATTTTAAGATGAGTTTATTTCATGTTTGATTAGGATAAAATCACTGAAATAACTAATCTCGAGATAATTAATCCTGAGATAACTTGTTAAAAAAAACGAGCCCTATCAGTAGGCATACTGGAGAAGGGTTTTGAGTTATAGGATTTGTCTGGGACCAATATGTCTAGTCCAACTAGTAACCAAAACTTGTTCAATAAACATCTAACTTGTTGAACAAATGTCAATACCAGACTCACATTTGTTTCAATCCTTGGCAGCCTATTTGGGGTTGATTGGCAAATCCACATCCCTTCTTTTGTATTGTTCCTCAATTGTGTGAGGAGCAAAGTAAATACTCATACAAAAATCAGTAAATATATTTCTATTACCAACTGTAGCATACAAGAGAACAGATTAGTCTGCAAAGTCACAAGGACTACGACAAGTTTACAACACAAATGCTTGGTCATAAGGACTACAATAAGTATAATAGTTTCAAGTATAATACAACAAAACTTAGTCCAAATAACTTAGCTGGGATAGAGATAACTAGATATGTTTGGGTTAGGGATAAGGTAAGTATATGCAAAATCTGTTCTTAGATGTGCCGGCTGAAAGTATACGCCCACAAAGCAAAGCCAAATGTTCTACTTTGTTGCCAGTATCCAAATTATGATACAAAAGGACACCCGTTGCAGAAATCGAGTCTTCTATCAATACCGACATTTATGAGTAGAGTATTTGTTAGCACCACTTTCTTGTGAATATGTAGCAGCTGCAATTACCTTGCGATAGTAACGCCAAGATGCATTCTTATCAGTGATAGGTCGTTGACCATATGGATTATTCTCTACATACTTTTGAACATTTTCTGCCATGGACAATCCTTCGAGATAAACACGCAGATCACCACCAGGCCCTGCCGTGGGATAAACAAGATGAATTTCATAAACAGTATGAGTTGGACAAATGTTGATGACAGACCAACATCCCTACCTCATACAGGACAGAATGACAGTGTTAAAGCAGTCATATTAAGTAATGTAAATTGCTTTAATTACATAAAACTCGAAGTATGAATTCCAGGAACTGCAAAGTGAGGAACTATCAACAACAATCTAAAAGGCCTGTACAAAAAGGAAAGCACAAGAGAAGAGTGCAGTATCAATATGCATATTCACCCGAAAATATACACGGAATACTTGGGGTGTCCAAACATCACCAGTCTCTCAATGAAAAAGGGCGAAGAAGTCCATAGTACTTGTGATAGTTTTGCAAGGAAAAACACACACAGATGCACACATACGAACACACATAGGAAGGAAACTCACCTAATGAGTCATCTTTCTCATCCAAGTAGTGGTATGAATTTGGAAATATTGCTGTATGTGGCTGACAATCATAAAATACAAGTTGAAACTCATTGGATTTTAATCATGCAGTAAATTTCTCAGGCAGAAGAAAGGATTAA